CAATGGCAACTGCCATAGAAGAAGTGACTGAAGGTTTCGTGATATCAAGAAGAACTGAAGATTAAGTCCCCTTTATATATGTATATACAAATTTTTTCCTGTCTTTACAAAGAAGGTAATTCTCTCAAGATAGATAAGCAGGTTACAATCTCAAAGAGGGATAAGCATGAAAGCAGGGAGCTGTCCAGAAGGGGCAGCTGAAAAACAGGGAAGTGATCACCTATCCGAGAACCTATCTGCCAAAATTGAAGAAGAAGAGGAAAAGGGGGGAAAATATCTTTGCCGCCCAATAAAAAAAAAACACAATCACCCTACTCCAGAGAAGAAACAGTTTTTCTATAAATACAAGAAGGAGTGAACAGGGTAGAGGACACTGAAAAAACCAAAAAATCAATCAAAAACAAAAACTCAAAATGACTTCAAAACACTGAAGTTAAATTCCATCAGTTCTGCCTAAAAACAGTTTAAATTCCATCAGTTCTGCCTAAAAACAGTTTAAATTCCATCAGTTCTGCCTAAAAACAGTTTAAATTCCATCAGTTCTGCCTAAAAACAGTTTAAATTCCATCAGTTCTGCCTAAAAACAGTTTAAATTCCATCAGTTCTGCCTAAAAACAGTTTAAATTCCATCAGTTCTGCCTAAAAACAGTTTAAATTCCATCAGTTCTGCCTAAAAACAGTTTAAATTCCATCAGTTCTGCCTGAAACAGTTTAAATTCCATCAACCATTTTGGCCAGAGCAGCCTGTTTATACTGAGATAAATTGTTAAAGTCCTCACCAGTCTGAGGCGAGAAAAGAACTTACTTGGGAGATATTCCTCACCCAAATTCACAATCGTTTGTTTGCAGAAATCAGTAACTTGGGGCGCAAGTTATCTACTCCAAACTAAGTCTGCTAGAATTTTTATTGCTAGCAGTGGCACGCTCGCACACCAAAGAAAGCTGACTTGTCGACCAGTTTATGGTTCTCAAGGCAGTGGGGAACTTTGCCCTTCCATCACAGGAGTGAACGCAAAACGGGCAAACACTAAATAAGAAATAAGTGTTGAAGTTCCTATAAATTACATCTCTACCATTGATTAACTTAAAACAAGCTCAACACAAAAAACTCAAAAAGACCCAAAACAAGCCCAACCCAAATTTTAAAGAAAAACCCAAACTAAAAAAAAATCGTGAAAATCAAGGAGTTGTCCTTACGACCCTTTTCCACTGAACTTCCGTACACTGTTAATATCATGTGATAGAAGTACATTGTTAATACCATGTGATAGAAGTACATTATTAATACAATTTCATAGAAGTACATTGTTAATACGATATTATAGAAGTACATTGTTAATACTATGTGATAGAAGTACATTGTTAATACCATTTTATAAAAGTACATTGTTAATACCATTTCATACAAAAAATTTATAATAAAAAAACTATAACAGCCCAACAAGACATCCGATATCTTTTGTAGAAACCACCTCCAATTGTTCATAGTTTCACCACATACAATCACAAAGGCAAAAGAAAATACCTTTACAAAAGGGAAAAAAAGTACACTGTTAATACTATGTCATAGAAGTGCACTGTTAATACTATGTTATAAAAATCAACTCAGTTGTAGAGTATGAACAGTTATTATACTGTTCATACCACTTACTGGAAGTTAACAACTACATCATTTCATTTACATAATCGGTACGATAAAAGTGTACAACTCCATACCACTCAAAATCAATTACATAATTTCATTTGCATAATTAATTGATCCTTCATCACTCCACATACCATAAACATTGAATCAGAGCAACTCCCACACATACTGCTCATCATCATTGTGCTTGGTAGCAACAATGATCTTATCTACAACAAGATCTGCACCAGCAGCCAAGGCTTCCGTAAATTCCTTGGTGCTAGACCTTGCAATGGTACCAAGGTTGTTTACCAAATCTGACAATACGAAATAAGAACAAAATAATTAAGCATAATAAAATAATTGGAACAACACAGATAACAATTATAAGCCCAAAGCGCATAACTGATAAGGTGAAATAGTACATAGAATTTGAATAGTCTGCTATTTCACTACAAACTATAGGGATAATATGAAACCATTCACTCCCCGCGTCAAAATTTCAATATAAAGTTATTGTAATGCTAAGTGGTTACATATATTGTAATGTTAACTCGTTACACAATGAAGTAAATAAAATACCTCCTTTTTCAGGACCTCCATGGACCTACCAATCTCTATGAGTTTGCAACAAGAAAGATAGATAAATGTTTAAATGACAATAATTAAACTAAAGTTGTTGCTTTAAAGGTCATTTTTTTGTGGTCAACGGATAAATATGTAGAGATTAATATGGGGCACCAGAATACATAGTAGCATGGCAAAGCTAGTAGTGTGATACATTATTGAAACTTTATTCAAGAAATCTCAGAGGATTCTTTTTCCAACAAAAGTTTCTGGAGAGACAGATAGAGTTTTTCAATTTGTATAAAAGATCAGTCCCACACATACACACGTACGCACACCAACCCAACTCTCTCTCTCTCTCTCTCTCCCTCTCTCTCTCAATAACAACCAAATAAATAAATATACGGAAGAAGAAGAAGTTTGGTTTGGTGCAAGTCCCTGTGTGCTATATAGGAATATTTAAAATACGTTGTTGCAGGCAGAATATATTCAATATAAAGTTTTCTACCAATACATATTCTTAGTCTGAATTCCCTAGGAGAGCAATCTCTTCTTTCTCTCATGAAAAAGGCAAGGCAAAAGAGAAACAAAAAGCATAACCAAAATGGGGGAAATGACAGTATTTTTTTAAATAAATATTGAGCAGTCTAAGATAATCATCAACAGGATGCATATTCGTTAGAAATTAGGAATGCAAAGAGCATGAAATTCAATAGTTAATACTAGCACCATATACGACTTCAGCTTCAGCTAATGTGACAAAATCAATCATCATCAATAAAGTAAAGAGCAAGGGCAAAACAAGGCAAAACAATAGCATCTCAATTATGGCTTGGAACTAGAAAGGAAGGAGGACTACTGACTGACGGTTGAGACAGAAGAGCTGCTGAGCTGAGCAATGATACGGATTCATGGCGAACTGGACTTTGGAGCAGTTAGTGAAGTGAATGCCCGCAACCATATCCTCCGCTGCCCCCTTCGGAGCTGTAACCTCTGTTACCACCACTGCCGCTTCCACAAGACTGGGCCTCGCTGACGGTGATGTTACGACTGTCGAGGTTCTGGTCGTTCATGCCTTCGATCGCATCCCTAATGACCTTCTCGTTGTTGAAGGTGACGAAGTCGAAGCCCCTGGACCTCCAGGTCGTTAATGATCTGGAAACACAAAAAGAAACCAAATCAAATCAGATCCATCCATCAAAACAAAAACGCTGGAGTATAATCAAACAAATACACAATAATAAACAAAAATGGAAAGGAATCGATCGATCTTCAATCTTTGGGAGAGAAAAATCAAGTAACATAGAGAAACAGAAGATCAAGAAGCAGAGAGAGAAAATGCATCAAAGGGCTCTTCGATTTGATGATCTCACCGAATGGAGAAAAGGCCCTCTCCAGCGCATCATTGTCGATAGCCCAGGTGAGCCCTCCGACGAAGCTTAGAATGATGAGGTTGAACAAAAACTAAAAATTGGGGTTGAAGATGAAGATGAGAGACTGGAGGTCGTGAAATGGGTTCTGATCTGTTGATTAGAATTCCAATTTTATGTTAAAAGGGTAATAAAGGTATTTCATTTTAATAATTAAATTAAAAAAATATACAGCTGTTTATTTTTGGGTTTATTTTGGGTGTGTTTATATACATTAAATAGTATAGGATATTTTTATAGTTTTATGTCTAGGAATGGGTATTTAACTAATTTTCTATAATAAGTATGCAATTTGATAGTTTCGTAAACCTTAGGGACGTTTTGTGATATTAAGCCAACAAAAACTGGACCAATTTGGCCCAATCAATTTAAAATAATACTAATTTATTTTCATATTACAAATGGGGCTATGTAAGTGGAGGTTCCACAGAGTTACAATGGGACATGTCGTACTTGATTTCAACCATAAGTGTTAACAAAACTTGTGAGGGTATCCGTAAGTGTTAACAACGTTTCCTCTCACCGCGCCTCCAATTCGACTCGATACACAGCCTCTCGCCGTCGCCACTCGCCGTCGCCACTCCGATCATCATCTCGTGGGCGGCGCCTCTGTCTCAATTTCAGGTAAGTGCAAAATAACAAAGTTGTGAAGAGCATTAGTTCGTATTTCTGTTGTTGGCTTTTATGTTTACAGCCTCATTTGCCATTTTAAACCCACCCATTTTGTAAGGAGCAGACTATATATGCAGATTGGGTTTCGATTTGATTTCCCTAGAGATGCTGAAAGCAAACAGCCTTCAAAGGTTGTTTCTTTCCCCCTTTTTTAGTGTGATAGAAGTTCCGTGGAGTTCATAATTGTATAAAAGGAGTCAAAGTAGTGGCTGCGGTGGGTGGAGGCACTTCTTCGAAGGCCTCCGTCCGCCGGCCTGCTGGCCCGATCTGGAGAATTCATGTTCCGGCAGGCGGGCGAGACAGAATGGTTTCCACAATATATGCAAAATTATTTCAAATACCAAAAGGAGCAAAAGTGGTTTCCCATCCGTAAGAAAAATTTCATTGGTTACTGTCATTTTACAACAAAAAATCCAAAATTGGCTGTTTCTTTTCAACCTCTAGAGAATTAACTATCTTCTATCTAACTGACCCCCCACAAATTGAGGATACAGTGCAAACACCAGCTGATGTTGTGAGGGGAATATCTCTGTAGCAGGCTACTAGGTCAGTGTTAGTATGCAGATCCACTTGCAAGCTCTCCCACACTTTCTTCTTGGGGTTCAACACCTCATCAGGCTCACCTGCGAACCCCGGAAATGTAACTCTCTCACCAACCTGAGCTGCTTTAGGCGGATTGACCAATTCAACCGTGGCGTGGTCACTGTTCGAAGCAGCAAGAACCATTGCTTGTGATTTAATACCCCTCATGGTTGCTGGCTTCAGATTGCAAAGAACACAGACCTTCCGGTTCTGCCACAGAAAAGTTAATATAAATGAACTAATGGACAAGTAGGTGCTCCTAAAAGCTACGGAAATTAATTCGAATTTTATTGTTGAAAATTCTGTAGATGCAAACACAAACCTGCATTTCTTCAATAGGTATATACTTGACAAGTCCACTCACAACTGTTCTAGTCTGTCCTTCACCAACATCAATCTCTTGTATGTAAAGTGAATCAGCATCAGGATGCTTCTGAGCTTTGGTAATGAGGCCAACACGAATATCAAGTCTAGAAATGGAAATTTCTGCTTCAGCTACAGATTTTGTGGCCTGTTGCTTTTTCTTTCCACTGTTGTCTGTTAAAAAAAATGGATTATTAGGATAGATATATATTTATGTTAGCAATATGAGTTTAGCTTGTGGACCAGACCAACATGCGGAAATTCTAACCTGAAACTTTCATTTTCTTGAGTTGTGCAGCCACCTTCACTGCTTCAGCTTCTTCCCGCTCCTTCCTGTCCGCTTGACTTCCAGCAAACTTCTTCCTTAAGGACTCCACTTCTTCATCTTTCTGTGTCCAAGTACAAACTTTCATTAAATTAGACTCTACAAATAGGCAAGTGATGCAGCAATCATATCATGGCAGGCTAGAGAGTGCAACATTGAAAGACAAAGCACATCAAAGACATACCAATTCCTTGAACAATGGCTCTGGTTTCCCAATCTTGTGACCAACAGGTACAATCTCCCAAGGTCGTCTTGCCCTATCAATATCTCCTTTATCATCACAAAGTGATATGTGCTTCTCAGGAGGTAAATTAAGCTGCTTAAATACCTTGAATGCAGTTAAAGAAAAAAATATATATATCAGCATGGATGATTATAGTAATATCACATGATCAAAGAAATATTTCAGAGTAACACAATCATCTGCGAGCAGAATTTTTTACTTCGAGAGAAAATGATGGCATAAAAGGTTCCAACAAACAAGCAAGAAGATGCACTAGTCCGACTGAAGTTCTGATAACAACAGCGCAACGAGGTTGGTCCTCCTTGTAAAGCTTCCAGAACTGGCTTTCCTGCACGGTAATTACAGAGGATGCAACTTAGCAGCAGCTGAATAATCGGTTTCACAGTCATTTCCAAGCAATATACTTAACAAAAGAACACATCCATAAACAAGTCTCTCAAACAGGGATTAAAAACGTGCTTACTTGCAGATACGCATTCCCTTCACTAGAAATGCTCATTGCTGTTTTCAGTCCTTGCTTTAGTTTAACCTACACAAAATGTAGATGGAATGTCATGCCAATGCAAGACACGTGTGAAAAAGGAAGGTGGGGAAGAGACGCTTCCAGTCATTTGCAGCAAGACTGTCATCTAAATATCAATTACCTTCTCCATTGCTTCTATATATTGCTCCACATATTTGCCAACTTTTTCAGCTAATTTCTCTGTTAAAAGATCTGACTCTGCCCTTGGAGCATCTGGAATAATGGAACCATATCCTTGACCTGTACATGGATTTTGTTAGTTTATATGCTGCAAAGTGCCACATATACCTTGCATGTTAAAACGAAATGCCGACCGACCTGAAGGTTTGGCAACAAAACTCAAAACTCGATTTATGAAGTTGCCCAAATTATTCAGCAATTCGCTGTTCAGTTTTGCTTGCAAGTCGGCCCACGTAAATAATGTGTCTGATACCTATTTCATCAAAAAACAAAATATTAAAACGAGTAAACAAAGATACAGAGAAAGAAGAATATGAATTACAAACCATCACCCAAAAAATAAAAAATAAAAGAGTCAAAAAGGAAGATGGGAATCATTAAAGTTACCTCAGGCCTATTAGTTAGCAAGTAATATCTCCATACTTCAACAGGAATATTTGTATCTTTTGCATCGTTTCCAAAAACCCCTATGCCTTTACTCTTAGAAAACTTTCCTGTGAAAACCATTAAAATTTAGATCGCCTAGTACATACCGCACAAAGGTGTAAACTTTGAGCTTTTATAAATAAAGTCTTCTAGAATCATGCATCCATACCTGCTTCATAGTTTAAGTACTCAGTAACACTAATAGTCTTCATTAAAGTCCAATTTTCACCAGTTCCAAGAAGCGTTGATGGAAACATCACCTGAAAGATAAATAAATAAGTACACAGTTGAAATAAGTTCTTTTTTGAAGCAAGAAATGCTGAGAATACGATGCTTACTGTATGGAATGGCACGTTATCCTTGCCCATAAACTGATACAACTCCACATTCTCAGGATTTTTCCACCATTTCTCCCATTCATCAGTGTAGCATTTAGTAATTGATACATATCCAATCGGAGCATCAAACCACACATAGAAAACCTACCAATAACAGAGTTAGAACAAATGTAACAAATTTTGAAAATCGTTAACAAAAATTGTTAGAATTAGCATAAGTGTAGTATTAACCTTCTCCTTGAAGTTATCATGTGGAACTGGAACCCCCCACTTTAGATCTCTAGTAATACATCGCTGTTTAAGTCCCTCTTTGAGCCATGCATTTGTCGCTTGAATGGCATTTTGGCTCCAAGACCCATCCACTGATGTTTTATTGATATACTCTTCCAGTTTATCTTTGAGCAAAGGAAGTTCCAGAAACAAGTGATTTGTATCACGAATTCGTGGGGTTGTCTTACACACCTGCTTGCAATTGACAAAAATGAGAAATATAAGATTGCAACAATACTGCGTCTCTCCATTTAATGTTATATGCGAGTAAAAAAAAAAACTCTCTCACAAAGGATATGAAAAAAATCTATACCTTGCATTTAGGATCTTTTAATTCTGTTGGATTCAAAAGCTTTCCACAATTTTCACATTGATCTCCTCGTGCAGAAGCATAGTCACAACCTTGAGTCGGGCATGTCCCCTCCACAAGTCTGTCGGCTAAGAACCGTTTGCATGTGTCACAATAAAGCTAAATTACAGTACAAATTCAAGTTAAAATAAATTATAGAAATACACTTTAAAACATAACTCAATCGCAATACATGGACATAAGCATGCAAATCAGTGACTAAACCAATAGAAGACACATTTACAAGCCAGTGAATGCTACCTGTTGCATTGTGTTCTCTGAAAGCCATTCATTCTCCAACAACTTTTTGAAAATCGCTTGACATACTTCCGTTTGTTGTGGTGCCGATGTGCGCCCAAATATGTCAAAGCTTATATTAAACCACTTATAAACCTCCTTATGAATTGCATGATATCTACAAGAATATAACCATTTGAAATAAATTTCAATAAAACGTACACAATACATAGAAGTTAAGTTTACCAAATTATATAAATTTTACTGAAAAATTTACTTGTCACAAATCTGTTGGGGGCTACACTTCTCTTCCATAGCTTTAGTCTCCGTTGCCGTGCCATACTCATCAGTTCCACATACGTATACCGTATTGTAGCCTCGAAGACGGCAATAGCGTGCAAAGACATCGGCACTCAACACACCTGGCCAACATAACAAAAAGAATACATGAATTAAAATGATCTAAGAATACATGAATTAATTTCAAGAATCTGTTTGGTTCCCAAAAAATTAGAATGAAAAAAAAAAGGAGCAGATAAATACAGCCGATAATATTTCCTAGGTGGGGGACATTGTTGACGTAAGGCAAGGCGCTAGTGATCAGGATGTTTCGCTTGCCAGGGATGGGTAGCTTGGCAGCCGTTTGCTCCTCCTTGGAGGTAACTGTGAGGTCTCCCATGTCCATGTACGGTTGTCTCCTTCAATGTCTGGGCCAGAAACAAGGGCTTAAAAAACTGCAATTCAAGATAAAAGAATCTATCCACTGTTTTCTTATAAGGTTCCTTAGTATTCAGACAGTGTTTATGATGTAGGAGAGCACGGGTTTTGGAACGAATGTTTATAAATGACCCTTACTGCAACTGTTAACCAGGCTTATATAGACATCAAACCGTAGCATAACCTAATTGACAAAGGAAAATTTTAACAAAACAGGAAATAAACTAAATCCTAATTGGTATAGGAAAAATTTAATCAAAACTGGAAAAAACCAATTTCTTAATGAAAATAGGAAAACTCATATCAAAATAACTTAATAATTTAAGATCACTACTAAAACTTAGCCTTATTGTCTGATGAGCCCACTTAGATTTAGTAAAGTCTAGGTCGGTCTTGTAGATACTCCTGCGTCAGTTTACTTTATCTCCACCACTCCCAGTGTTTACTTCATAGAAAAAAAAGAAAAAAAAAAAGAATATGGGCAGAGATTCAAAATTCAAAATTTTTTCTTTCAAGTTTCAACACTCTAGTTTGGATCTCGCAATTCATAGAAGCGATTTTCTGTTTGATTATTCAGTAAAAGGAGCAATGCATGCAGCAAGCTCTGTTTGAACAATAAGAAATCTGATAAGAAAGATATTAGAAAAGCTCAAAAACATAACAGAAACAGAAATTACAAGCACGCAGATTACACAAATACAGAAATCCAGCAAACCCCTTCAATCCAGAAACCCCCGAAAACCCAGAAGTCAGATTATGCATTTGATGTTGTGGCTTGCTTATTATTTTTTTTGGTGGTTATATCTTCCCTTTGTACTTTGTATTTTAATGTGTATGTATCTGTTATAATAATTTTGTACAAAAAAATCGGTATTTACTTATGAAATACTTGAGCACAAAACACAGTTTTAGATCACCAGCTAATTACAATATCACAACAAGGAAAGAGAGTGTATGGCAAGTCAAGTGTAATCTAAAACCAGAGCTGTGAAATTGCAGAACATGTCTTTGTGTTGTGTAAATGGAAGCTTCAGTTTCGAGCTCGATAATTAAGTTTCAATTTCGTTTGACTAATATTTCATATGGTGTGAAATACTTACATCGGGTACTGTTCCAAAGTGGAAGTCAGTTCAGAAGACAGAATTGGCAAAATTTTCTCACAAAATGAAAACAGAGCAATCATTAGACAAAGAGGATACAATCTCTAAGTATGATTCAGGGCTGAAGTTGGTTACAGTGCAGGTATATTTTACGATCCTCGTTCACTCCCACAAGCGCAAACTGGAAATTCATGCAGCTATGTTTTTAGACAACCCTTGCCATACATTTTCCTTATGTACTTGTCCAGCGACGACAACTTGGATAACTGTGGAACTTCAGTTGGGACTTGACCAGAAAGGACAGAGACAGATAGGTTGAGATAAGTGAGCTTTGGCAAATTCCTAATTTTAGTAGGAATTAGAGAGTAATTGAAGTAATTATCAGCGAGGTTTAGTCTCTGCAGATGAACAAGACTGAAGAGGCTGCTGTTGGAACTGATAGAGCCGTAGAGACAACTGCTGCTGCTGCAAAGAGCATAAGGAGTTCGCAACCACAAGATGAAAGAACAGCAGAACTACTTTTGAAAGCTTGGAATGATATTTTTTCCTGCTAATCAAATTTGTTGATCTTTGTTAGGTAAAGTGAGAGAGCTCTAGAACTTATAGATTGGACTGAAATTATTGAGCAATGACATATCAAGACTAATTTTCTGTTGAAAAACTAATGCTCATTTGTTCTACAAAGTTCTAGAAAAGTCAAGAGCTCACAATAAAGAAGGTGCTTATGATTATGACCGTGAACATTTCATTGTTTCTCTTTTTATAAAAGAGTTTCGTGAAGTGCAGGATGTTAAATTGGTAACCGAGAAAAATCTGGAAAATCAAGGGTTAATTTTGTTTCTGTATTTTAGGCATTTTGAAATGAAGAGAAAATAAATAGGAGAGAGAGGAATGAAGGGATGCGGCGGAGAGAGGTGCATTGGGTTAGGGTGCGGGTGATTGAATTGCACCCAATGTACACTTTGCTCTTTTGCAATTAGCAGCAACTATTGTAGAAATATTCATCTGAGGCTTTGGAAAGCTTCAATTTCATTTCATCCAATGTACTCTGTGCTCAATTAATGATTAAAATCATTTTATTACATAAAGAAAAACATTATGAATGCAGAAAGTCCAAATAAAGAAAAACATGCAACATCCTAACACCTTTATTTGCATTAATTAGCATAACCACAAGAACAACTAGAAAGACAGAGCAAGGTTTCGTGGAAGCAGAAGGAAGGAAAAACAAGAAAACAACTCCAAATGCATGACCAAACTATACTTCTGCATCCCCCACTCTACCCACAGGACAACTTCAAAGATAGAGCACGGTTACATGGAAGGAGAAGGTAAAAAAAACAAGAAAACTACTCCAAATGCTTGACTTTATAACACACTGAATTTCTGCATCCCCAACTCTACCTTTTCCATATCATTAGCCTGAACATTCCAACGATCTTAAGAAACAACTCCTGCCTTCTTGTGATGGCGACATCCGTGAGAACCACTCCCACTACAAACCCACTTCCAATTCCAGCCAAACAAAATATCAAATCAAATTCAAGCGTTCGAGCTGAGCCTGAATCACTGTCTTCTCCAGTTGAAGGTTGCGGTTGAGGGGCCTCTTGATTTCTGCATTTTGGTAATGGATCTCCACACAATCCTGGGTTTCCCTCATATGAAGTGCTATTCAATGAAGTAAGTTGGGTACCTTGCGGTATAGGACCTGTGAGATTGTTGTGAGACACATCAAAGTTCCCAAGGAATGTAAGCCTCGTCAGTTGTTGGGGGATCTGTCCTGACAGCTTGTTCTGTGAAAGGTCCAACGATTCAAGATTCCTTAAGTTCCCCAAGGATGATGGAATAGAACCAGTGAGAATGTTGCTGGAAATATTAAGTGAGCGAAGCTCCTTAAGGTTCCCAATCAATTCTGGAATCTTACCTTCAAATTTGTTGTTTGATATATCAATGGCTGCAAAGCCTTCTTGAATCTTTGAATAGTACAACTCCAAACCCTTAATTGCTATTGTAATTGAGTAAGGAATACTCTGATGAACAATATAATGATCATTGACTTGATAGACTACATATATGGACATATATGTTGACTTGTTTACAATAATATCTGGAAACAAAGGTGGAATCTTACCTGTGAAATTGTTGAAAGACAAATCAAGAATGCGTAACTTGGGGAAGTCAACATTTGTTCTAGACTGTCCTATTACACCGTTGAACTGATTATGGCGCATTGCCAGAAGTTTTAACTCTGGAAGAGTCCCCAACCAAATGGGGAAAACATCAGTAAATTGATTGTTTGACAGAACCAGGTACTCAAGCATCACACAATTCGCCAATGACCTCGGTAATTGTCCATGCAATTGGTTATGACTAACGTCAATCATCCTTAAACTGCTTCTGTTGTTGTATGATTGAGGGATCATGCCATGAAAAGAGTTGCTTCCAAGAAGTAAAAGGATTAGATCATCACTAAAGTTTCCGAGACACTGAGGAAGCGTGCCACTCAAGTTATTTTTTGACAAGTCAAGGTACCGAAGAGAACTCATATTGCAAAGCAATGGTGAAATTTCTCCAGTAAATTTGTTGTTGGTCGCTCCATATTCTAGAAGGGATGGTGGAGGGATCGGTAATCTTCCTTGAAAATTGTTGAACGAAAGCCTCAAGCATTGTAGTTTAACCCAGGGTATGATAGCTGGAAGTTCTCCTAAAAAGAAGTTTGCAGAAATGTCCATGAATATCAGGGTCTCCTTGCTTAAATTCCACATCCAGTTTGGTACTTCACCACAGATTTTGTTGTTTGCTAGATCCAATCGCTCCAAATTTGTCTGATTTTGTAGGAAATATGGGAACTCTTTTAAATTGCATGAACTCAAACCCAAAATGGTGAACTGTCGAAGAGTTGCGTTCATAATATTGGATCCAGTAACAAATTCAAAGTTGTTCCAACTCAATTGGAGTTGGTAGAAATTTTGTTGCTTCTGAAACATTTGAAACTCCACTACACCGCTCAGGTTATTTGACTGTAGATAAAGGATCTCGAGATTGGTGAGATTGGAAAATGAGGTGGGAATTGAACCATTCAAATGATTAAAAGCAAAATCTAGGTAAACTAGTTTGCTAAAGTTACCTAGCCAAGATGGAATTGGACCAGTTAAATAACTCGTACCAATCCTAAACACAGTCAATTGGGTAAGTTTGCCAAGGAATCAGGAATTGGACCTCCAAATTTGTTTGCTGAAATGTCTAGATAAGTGAGCTGTCTAAGATTACCAAGTGCAGATGGAACCAACCCTTCTGAAAAATTGCATCGAGCCACATCCAACACTTGCAATGAATTAATCTTTTCAAACGAAGAAGGTATTGTTCCAAAAAAACTAGTAAAGGACACTTTCAGTAAGATGAGAGGACTACTTTGATTAAATTCAGGAAAATATCCAGTGAGATCTTGGTTGTATCTCACACTAAGAACTTTTAAGTTCTGTAGATTGAAGATTCTCACTGGGAATTCGCCAAACATATCACAATTCCTGAGTCTAATGGATGTCAAAAATGATAAATTTGTCATGGAAACGGGTATGATAGAAGATATGTTAATGAAACAGAGAGAAAATGTTTCTAGACTAGTTAAGTTTTGAACTAGACTTCTCATATCGGATGGTTGAAGTTTCAACAATCTGTGAGGATCAGAAGAAGGTCCTTCAAAATTGCCACACAAATCAAGGTATGTCAACTTGGATAAGTGTGAGATTTCAGATGGGACTTGACCAGAAAAGACAGAAAAAGAGAGGTCAAGATGAGTGAGGCTTGGAAAGTTTCTTATGCTAGATGGAATTTGAGAGTAATTGAAGTTATTGTCAGAGAGGCTTAACCTTTGAAGATGCACCAAGCTGAACAGGCTACTATTGGAGTCAAAAGAGCCGTAGAGATAACTGCTGCTGAGATCAAGGCCAATAACATGACCCGTCATCTCGTCACACTCCACGCCATTCCACGAGCAGCAACTGATATTTCCTCCTCCAGGTGGTTTCCATGAAGAAACCTTTGGATAAGCACCGTCATAACCTGAAGCAGATTTGTCAATAATAAAGCTCTCCTTGAACTGCAGTAAGGCAGAGCTCTCCTCGGCCTGGCAAGATGGCTGCTGCAAAGCGTCTACAAAGTTAGTAACCACAAGATGAAACAGCAGTAGAACTACTACTAGTTTCGAGAGCATGTGAATCGACACATTCCCCATAATGTTTTTTCTATTTTTCGTGTGCACTCTTAGCTAAACAATCATATGTGAAAGTGAAAGCTGGAGAGCTATCTATTTATGGACAGGCCGTGTGATCAAATGGTTGAGCAATAAACATATAAATGTTTGACTTCAAGTCAAGTAGCAATGCATTTATGGGTATTGGACGTGTTCAGCATCAGCTCTTTCTTGGGGATTTCCTGATCGTTTCTTCAGTTTCTTGGCCTGACTTTTGAGTCTCTGTTCTGTGGAAATTATTTTGGCACCACATGTGAGATTTCTTTTGTCCTCTTGAGAGTTCACATTTAAGGGGTTTGTCCTTTCATCCTTGATTGTTTTGTTTGTACAGTATTGGTTATTAAAATATCAACACCAGCAGCGTGAATGGCTTGTAAGAAGTCAAGAACTAGCTTCACATCTTTGGATATGTAAGCATCATTCAACCTCATCACTCATCACTCAAAAACTTTAGAAACTTGATCATTTTCATTGTTAGAGTTGGTTGCGATGCTTTCATCAGCCTCATCACTCAGATTATATGTCTTGAGGAGAGAACCTGATGGTTTTTCATTATTACCTAATGCAACCAAAGCAACTTCATATAAATACCATTCAAAATAAGCTCCCTTTGATGTTAAAGTCTAAATGGCAATGTTAACATAATTATTGTGATGTATCAAGTTTCATTGACAAGAGCAGTCTAAAATTCTAGCATTCACAAGTGTATCCACAAGTTAGCATTCACAAAAGCTCTCCTCGGCATGGCAAGACGTTTGTAATAAGGAAATAAGAGCTTGAATGTTTTTAGTTTTTTATGAGGTTTTGGGATTGAGCTTGTTTTAAGAAATTGATGGCAGTTTTGTAATTTATAAGAAGTTAAAAGGTTTTTTGATATATTGTAAATGGGCTTTAGGTGTGTTTCTAAAATCTATTTCATATAAGGGTTTTTTATTTATTTATAATTTGGGCATTGAGTATAAAAGTGTATCTCCCTTTTAATATTCAGTTTATAAACAGGTCTTACTTGAGCATTGCCCTCTTAAGCTAAAAAATCATATCTATGAAAGTGAAAGAGCTATCTATTTATGGATGGCATAATCAAATGGCACTGCATATATAGTTGTATATAGTAAATAAGAGTTATTTACACCCTCTGAGGTTTTTGGCTTTTTAACAAAACTCTTTTTTATTGATTTTTCAAAGATTGATGATTTGTACAAAAAAAAAATCTCCAAAATAACAAAGTTGACCTTTGAGATTAGATTGCATATACTTCATTGGGGTAATTTTGTCATTTGCGTAATTTTTTTTTAATGAAATCATCAATTTTTGGACATACAATTAACGAAAAGAGGTTTTGTGAAAACAAACTGAAACCTCAGGTTGTGTTTGTGTAATTTTTGTGACCTAAAGAGATTTTGTGAAAACACAAGAAACCTCATGGGGTGTTAGGGTAAATAACTCTAATAAATAACTATTTAATATTACTCCAAGTCAACCATCTTCATCATGAGATAATATTTGTTGACATTTTGATCAATAAAGAAGTGATTGGAAGATAATAATAATAATAAACTTGAGACGTGGTGTTTTCACACTGCAAATGACTAAAGTCAAGAACTCACAATGACATAAAATTCCATCCTTGAAAGTAAGAGAAAAACGGTTCCAGTAAATTACATAGAGTTTTTCTATTTAAACCCCACACTTTTCTTTGTTTACATACATACTTAAATCATTAAGCTCTTAAGTTTTATTATTGTGTAAAAAGACAAAAAAGTCATCTAACTTCATACTTAACCCCAGTACATCTTTACACACACCACACCACTCTTCTTCTTCAAATTAAGCAAGTAATTTCTGTTGCGGTTAAATAAAGAGACATTTAAAGAATAGCCAACAACTCTTTGTTACCAAAAACAGAGCCCACCGCTCTGTTATTTCCTTCTGAGCACAGTCCATCTCGGGCTTGTGCTATGCCTAGCTATCCTACTAGCAGTCAAATGATCTTTATGTAAAAATTACTTGGTCGTTTCCTTGAATTGATCTGAAAATCCACGTTAAACATGTTGTTGGTAGAGATTCAAAGTCTTTAATTATCATGTTCTGTGCACCAAGTCTTTGTAGGGGTCCAAATTTGTAAACATTTGATTAGACATAATCATTCCAA